TAACTTCCTTAGCGGCAGCGTCCGCAGTCTTATTTAAAGAGACCAATATGGCTGGGAACCCAGCAAAACTGTCTTAAATCTACTGGAGATAAGAAACAGCCAATGTTGAATCTCGACAACTACCGGATGGACTGGATTAAAGGACTCCAGAACCATGAGGGTTCTGCGGTCGACTCTACGAGAGTCGACTACAATAACAAAGGAGTGACGGCGAGAAAGCAGTAAACGAAGACCATAGAGAATAGCATAAAGTTCCGCCGTGAGGACGCTAGTCTCCGGAGGCAGGCGACACATGGGTGTGGTCAGGAGAAACAACAATCTGCAGACTTAGACTCATCGGTGAAGATGGAAATGGAGCGGGAGTGTGGAGAAAAGTGTTCAAGGAAAAGGCGTTTCAGAACTGTAGGATGGTTAATAGCTCTAGTGGTGTGGGTCAGGGATTTGCAAAATTTAGGAAGGGGGACCCCTCCACGGGGACAAGGACGGAACAACACGAGGAAAAATTCTGGTAATACTAAGCGAAAGAGAATGTTGCAGGCGAGACAACCGGGCTGAAACAGGAACTACAAGAGGCAAAAGTCAATGAACAACATAGGCGACAGTGAGGGTGTTGTAAGGACCGCACAAGGTAGCGAAGACAGTAGCGATCACGGCGGTCCTGGAGAGACAGGAAGCCAGTGTCAACATACAAGCTGAGGCCTCGTAGCCTGGTGGATAGCGCGCAGGAGTCGTAATTCTGTGGCGTGGGTTCGTTTCCCGCACGAAGCAGAAACAAATGGGCAAAGTTTCTTTCACCCTGAACGCCCCTGTTAATATTCTTAATCAACCAGGCTGTGACTCATACGTCAGCCTGCTAGCAGCCACGTCCAATAGCCTGGTTGATCAATCCAGCAACAAGGAGGCCTGGTCGACGACCGGGCCGCGGGGACGCTAAGCCCCGGAAGCACCTCAAGGGTAGGAGTCGAACGAAAGGCACCAGAGCTGAGGCGCAACCCAGTATGGTGTAAAGCATCATGACAGCAGAGAGCAGTAGAAGCAGACGAGTAAGCAGGGCAACCATAATCGAGTTTAGACAGAATGAGAGAGGAATGTAAAGAGGTCGTCAAGGTGGAAGTTCATTCTTTTCCTCCCCTCGATTCAGTAGTTAGTTACTGTATAGACTGGAGTTATTCATGGGGGAACGGTGGCCCTTCTGGTTAAGTGGCCGACTCCGCCTTGGTTTCCAGCACTTCTACACTACACTGGAAGTCTGATCCTGTGCGTTTTTCCGCAGCTTTGCCTCTAAAAGCAGATTGAATCAGCGACTTATCTTGGTGGTTGAAGTAAGGAAGGCTCTGGCAAGGAGTCTAGGAGGTGCTTAAGATCAGGAAGGGAAAGCGGGACATTTGGGGGGAGATAAATGGAATAGACTGTATACCATTTACCCACAAAAAACACGGGCAGCAGAACAATGGATAGGTGATAGAAGAAGTAGGGGGACGAAGGGAATATCAGAACGAATTAAGAGACCAGTAGAGTTATGGGCCCCAGCAAGAAAGGGGGGGGGGGGAGAAAGAAAGGAATAACCACGAAGGTGACCAGGACGAGCACCAAGCATGGGTTCTTGGAGACAAACACAAGGTGGTGAAAACTGTGTAATTAGAAGTTGGAGTTCATGGAAGTTGGCATAAAATCCACGAATATTCCATTGAAGAATAGACATTATCAAAGAGAAAGGACAGTAACAGAGAACAATAAAGAAACAAAGGTAAAGAAGAACACAGTTTATTAAAGAATCTCAGGATCAGGAGCAGGGTCAGCAAAATCAGGGTTTGGGGGCATGGGTAAACTTAGTAAGGATGGAGGGAAGGGAGCGGGAGGACAGACCAGAAACAGACTGACAGGGCCCAGAGGAGGAGACAACAGAGAGGCAGTCAAGGACAGTTGAAGGAGGGGGGACAGAAATCAGGGAGTGCACCTCAGCAAGGGCAGCAACCGAGGGGAAATCAAGGACGAAAGAAACCTCCATATCTGGGACAGAGGGGGGCGGGGGCAAGACACACGCTCGTCCGACCACTGAAATGGGAAAAACGTAGTAATAGAGGGAGGGGGCAAGGAAGAAAGTGATGCCTTCTTACCTGCTGGAAAGGAGAGGAGAGGTCCAGGCTTACGTTTCTGACTCGAAGAGACAGGCGTTTCAGTAGCAATGTACCGAGCGACTGACTCAATGATCTCAGCAGGAGAGGAGGAACGGGAGTGAACAATGCGAAGATTGCTGGGAGGATGATGGACATCAGCCTGGACAGACAGGCGGAGTGGAGGGTCAAGAGACTGGGGGAGGGGGGAGGGTTGGGAAGAAAGAGTGGGGGGAGATGGGAAAGAAGACATAGTGGACTGGGCAGGAAGGGGGGGAAACTCCAGGTGGAGAACCAGGAGGGAGACCTTTCGGGACAGGACGCAAAGGAATGGGGGAAGAGGTGGTGGGTGTGTTCGGGTCTAAGGCCTGGAAACGGTTGTGAGACTGAGGAAGGTGGGAAGGACGAGGAGAGGAAGAACGCAACACGCGAGCATAGGATACACCCGCGAAAGGGACGAACCGACGAACTTGGTGTCTCGCTTCAGGAAAAAATCAGGCGATCACGGTGTTTCAAGTTGAGGACTGCTTCCTCGAGTTTGTAGTCTATACACGAGCGTGAGAAGGTAGGGTGGGCCTTACCGCAATTGAGGCAACGAGCCTGGGGAGAAGTGCACTCGGACTTAGAATTATCATCGTCCCTACACACAGGGGATAGATACACAGTAATTGTGCACTTGAGGACACCGTGCCCAAACTTCCAACACTTATTGCAAAGCCTAAGAGAGGGAATGTATTCCTGAACAAAGCATCTGGCACCGGCAAGAATAATAAAGGGCAGAAAGGTCCTACTATCAAAGGAGAGTTTTACAACTCGAAGGGGCGGACGGCGACGACCACGAGAGGGTCGAGTAAACGTGTACACCTGGAGGACAGAATGACCTTGGGCTTCGAGGATATGTTTAATATCCTCATGGCAGTCTTTGAGGTCCCTAACACCAGTTGCAACATGGTGCCGGAGGAGAACAGTGCCAACACTGGCATTTAACCGAGCATTTTTGTAGACCCGAACAGGGGTCTCCCCAATGCAGGACAAAGTGGCTAAGCGAGTAGCTGCATCCCGAGGAGCAGCAGCAATGACACACTTGCAGTAATTGGTGGGGTTAAAAGTCGCAGGCATCTACTGAATCAACAAGGTGTTTATGGAGGGAGGAAGCGTCAGGAGGAGTAGAATTCAAAAGGTGGAGATCAAAGTATTTAGCCCATGTAGCGGGACCAAACAAGGCGTTGTATTAGTATGGGAAGGGATCGTGCGAGTGTGGCCGTGACGGGGACGACGCTGAGAACCCCCAGAGAGAGAGAGAGAGAGAGAGGGGGGGGGGGAGTAAAAGGCGCAGTAGTCACAATGAGAGACTGAGCCGTGCCAGGGGACAAGGTGGTCACCACTGGGGGCTGGGAACTCGACCCTATCGCAGAGGGAGGGGAGCTGAGGGGAATAGTCAGGTCAAAAGAGGAGCAAGGTCAGGGCCCAATACAGCAGGGGCTACAGGGCCTGGTCTTCCAACACAGTCCATCCCAGGGGCTTGGTCGCCCACCCCACGGGCCTGAGAAAGTGCAAGGGAAACTATCTTCCATAGAAAGAAGGAAATACTTTCATTCACGAATGTGCCCCCACACCCACCATGGAGCCACAATTAGAGGCAGGACACCCAACGAGACGCTATCGCCGATCATGCCGGGGCCCCCCCTAGGGGTGCGTCGTGAGTATACACCCAACAAACGCCACCATAAGACCCGTCAGTCCGTTGAGATCGGGTTCAGTGATGAGAGGAGGATCGACAAAAATAGGGTCCCCTCATTCGAGACGTTGGGTACTACAGTTCTACGGGTGCAAGAGTATGCCTCCCCAAACACCCAACATCAAAATAAAAGAAGGCCAAAAGAAGAATCAAAACAAGCAAAAGGTCTGCGAAGAATGACAATGAGAAAGGAGAAGAGGGGAGAGAAAAACGAAACAAGTAAAAGGCGTCCAGCAAAACTTGCGAAGACAGCAGGAGCACAAGGCTACAAAAGGACAGGGGATCACTTCAAGGAGCATCACTCCCCCCGCAGCCGCCCACCAAGCCCCCTCACGGCAGCAACGAGCTGGACAGGGAGGGCCCCCCACCTCTGGCCTACTCGTCGTCCTCCAGAGTAATCGTTTGCTCTACCATGGCCTTTATGTCTTCTTGCTGTTTTCATAAATCCCGAACCAAGGGGGCCACTTTTTCCAAGGTGGCCTTTTTGTTGGTTCTTGCCTCCAGCCATCTAATTTCCATGCTCTTCTCCGGTGATATGGGTTCTGCTCTTGGTCCTGCTGGGCGATTTGTTAATTTTCAACCGTCTACACTTTGCTAAAGGATAAAGCTGGTGGGCTTCCAGAGGGTTCGTTTGGTTATTGTTGCTGCTTGGGGAAGCATCAATTTGTCTATGTGCAGCTCTCTTCACCACTGTCCGTGTGCCACCGACTGTCCGACACTTCGAGTCTATCCCGTTTCCTCGATTCTGTGTTCCAAGGTTTGGATTTCGCCAGGGTGTCTGCAGTGCCGAGTCCAGCAAGTCTGCAATCTACCTCTGGGCTCATGTTCAGAAATTTGCTGCTCTTGTTCCGGTTATATCAAATTTGTCCTGGCCTGATATTCCGGGGTTGGATTTTAGAGGTCCGACCAAATACCAGGCCACCATGACTGTCCCTGCCGCCAAGCACAGGGCTCCAGGCAACGTGAAATGGCACCTTTGTGATATATCACTCCAGCAGTCCCCCCCCCCCCTCCCCATCACGGCGACTACGGGCTAGACTGAGGAGGGGGGGGGGAGGTGCAGTCAAAGTACCAGATGGTTCGCCAATTGATCTAATATTCAACATTTAATATAAACCACAGTTAACATCTTGGATAATAACATTCAAATTATTATTATATTATTTTATAGTGTAAAATACATAATACAAGTTAGCCATAGAGGTCATAAAGGGACAATGTTTATTGCTCGGTACGGTCACTTGCCCAGTTGTGGGACCTGATCGACAGCGAGGGTAGTTATGGGAGTGAATGGCAAAGGCAGGAATGCATGCAAGGGCTTACAGGAACAGCTGTAAAGCAGCTGCGAGGGTGATGTGTGACCAACAGCTGATAATTAACGAGGACGTCACTGAAGTGACATCCGTTATGGTGAGAAAGATGTGGTGGTGACAAGACAGTAAAGGCTGGTGATATGGCGTTAATAATTATTATACAGGAGATATATTTTTCAAGTTTAAGCTATCCCAAGAGCTGGCACGGGCATGAATAGCCCGTGAAATAGATTATGACAACGCTTTAACAGTTAACGCTGTCACCATACACTTATCCCTGGGATAGACTTAACACTTTCCTTAAATAAATATAAAATACACAAACATGGATGCAATACAACTAATCCGGACCCCACGAAAGAACAATATCGCAATTTTGGAGTTTCCTGCAAGAGTTTGAATATTTCTGGCAGACAATACTTCACAGCTGTAGCAAAGAAGCTATTTGCCAGAGCCATCTTTTGAGCTCTTCTGCATAGGCGTATATTACAGTGTAGGTCTATACACTGTACTAAATAATTTTTGAATTTTATAAATCCAGTTGCTACGTTATTTCAGTGTGTAAACTGGATTGAAACTACAAAGTATTACTTTGTGAAGCCCTAAACTGAACAAAAAAAATCTGTTCATTTTATATTTTATTATTTTTTTTTGCATGCAAATTTAACTTTCATTCTTACGTGGCATTCAAAGGGTTAATTGTTACAAACAAGGATGTAGCATTGTAATGGCAATGCTGACAATTGGGATGGCAGTACGGCAACCTAAAATGGCAGCACAATTCCACAGTCTAGCACCATCTCGTGGAGGTAGTCATTAGTATTAGCTACCACCCTCAACACATCCAGACCTTGCCCCACCTCACCAAACACATCTGCTGAAGGACTTTTAGGAATTGCACAGTTAGTAAGCGAGACGCCGAACTGCATACAGTTTCCAATGTCCGGCCATTTCCACGCGTAAACAGCCCCCGCCATGCGAGTCGTCCCATACACGCCCTTCACGGCAGGTCGTGGCGTGTGTAAATCACTGAAGAACTTCTCTTCTTCGCCAAACACCATATACTCTCCGTGTTCTGGCGAGTACCCAACTTGATGAATGTGCGTGTTCAAGTAAGACTTGCCCAGCTCACCAGTACACAGCATTATGAAGTGTCTGCCCAGTGCAGTGTCACGACTCAAGCATATGACTATCTGTTCCATTGTAGATCTCTCGCGTCCAAGGTAGAGAAACGCCTGGAGGGAGGTGTAGTCCAGCATCTCTACAACGTCTGTGTACTGCATACAAAATTAAATTAGTAAAACAAAATTACATGCCTATCCATAACTACAAATAAAGTTTTGAATGTTAATAAAAAAAGACTACCTGGTGTGACACTTGGTAGCAGAGATTAAGCTCTGGTAACAATCCTTAAGAAATCTCGCCAGGACCTTCACGACTTTATAATGACCAAGAAAGAGTGGAATAATTATCTAAATAAAAATGGATATGTTCGTTTGTTCAAAATCGCTAATCTCCGAAAGTTCTTCACCGATTGCTATGAAATTTTCCACACTACGTTCCATTCGTATCCGAGCGGATTTTTATATACATATTGTATAGATGCCACGTCTGTGATGGGGAAAAAACATGCTTTTTTGAAAAACTTTTTCACGCGAGTGAAATCTTCGAAACCTCGTTACCGATTGCTTTGAAATGTAAACATTGCATTCGAATAGGCGCGCGTTTTTATATCACACACTATATACATGCCTCACCTGTGACAGGAAAACTTAAAACGCCATCTGTTGGACGTAAGCTCAACACGCTGTAATCTCCAGAAGTTCTTCACCGATTGCATTGAAATTTAGACAACGTGCCATTCGAATACTCTCGTGCTTTTATATACCTACTAGATAAAATACCTGCTACAGGTGAAAACCAATTTTTAAAACAGCGCCATCTGTTGCTCGCAAGAGCAACACATGCTATACTAAATGTTTTGATTCAATTTCACCGTTTCCGATTGCATTGATAAATTGAATTTTCATAGATAGATTTATTTTTATTTAGTTACTAGCGGTACCCGGCCACGCGTTACTGTGGCTCAGCAGCTATCCTTGTCCCCCAGTCCTCCCCACCCGTCTCCTTGGCCTCCCAACCATTCCCCACGCCACCATCCCCTTTTCCTTCCCACTATGTCCAACTCCCCTGTCCCTTTGTCCTCTCCACATTCTCCCTTCCTCGTCCCCCACCATCCCAAACTCCCGTCCCTTCCCCCCTCCCTTTGTCCCCCCCCCCCCCACAATCTTTCGTCATCCCCATATATTTCAGTGATGGGAACATCAGATAAGAACAAGTTAAAACATATGAAAATTAAAAATTTAAAAATTAACTATACTCACGAAATGAACGGTATGGTAAACACAGCTCAATTCCAACAAAGTCAAAATAATTCAATAAAAAAAAAATAAGTCGAAATCTATGAAAATAAAATTTATCAATATAATCTGAAACATTGAAATGGAATTCATGACCTTTAGTATAGCGTGCATTACACACGACTCAACCGATTTCGTTTGAACACTTCCGGAACAAGTGCTTCACTGACGAATTTTGTTCCAGCCACAACGCTATAAATGATTCACCCACGTACTACAAATACAAATAATCGCCAACAGAACCTAAACACCCAACCTAACCTATATATGCACAATATACTATAATATTTATTTATATTTGAGAAAATTCCCGTTTTGAATGAACAGCATGTAAAAATTTATGAATGCATCTGTGGGGTGGACCGCTGGATGTAATGGACTAGAGTCGAGGACGGGTTGGAAAAAATGAAGCAAGTTCGGGGAGGGCGGCTAGTCAACCCCCCCCCCCCACCAACACTACTTTCAGGGCACCTACACCAAACCTGCCAAAATTGGATCCCCCCCTCCCCCCACTAGCGGATGCTGCCTAAAACTCAACATGTCACAAGTGAAGGCCAGTATTAAATAAACCCAGTGACAGCGGTATCTTGGCTCCCGGCAGATCCTGGTAGTCTCACACCTGGTGACATTTCCCCAACATACCGATGGTAATCACTGCTCAAGCTTGAATGCTACTATCCCATAAAATATTTTATCCTGCTTAAGATGGAATGTATAATAAAAGTTACCTTGACTGTAGCAGCATAGGCGGGCAGAGTCTGCTTGTCGAGTGCATGAAGGTACATTCTTCCCTCTTGTAATGTTATCCTTGCATAGTAAATTCCGTCATGAAATTGCTTGACAGCGAAGACCCGGCCAGCCTCCACCAGCCTCTGGATAGGCTGGCTGAAATTTTGAAGATGCTCGACCTGTGGATAGTCGGCTGCATTATTACCCGTGAACATTGTCAAGTCAATTTATAGACGATATCAATCCTATCGTCACAAAATATCTGAACACGTGTGGTCATGTCACGCCCTTTATTTGTCTTAGAAGTGTCAGCCGTAATTTGTCCCGTGTATTGTCAGCCTCATCATCATTATGCTGCTATACGTCACAATGACGGGTTGCCAGGGCTGCCATCTCGGGGGTTTGGCGAGAGAGTGCTGCTAACTACCATTTAGACCTAGACAATTACATAGTTGCAAATGTTTCAATCATACGTTGTTGAGTTACTCGTGTTTTTGCGGTACTGTGGTGCCCATGTATTTTACTTTTTCTTTAATGACTAGACTGGCTTTGATCTCATAGGTGCTCTTTAATCTTTAGAACCTATTGAGGGAGCAAAGGTGCTGGGGAGGATAACCGCCTTTTAATTAAGGAAGCTCTACCAGAAAAAGATTTACTGCCTAAAAATGCCAGAACAATTGAACATCTACCAACATAGTCGACGGTGACATTGGTCAAAAATAAAAATTAGGAATATTGGTGAAAGTTACACAAGATTAATTATAGCTCACACTTACAGTTAACAGTGTTCCAAAGATGTCATCATTAATTTCCTGAACTCTAGTTAGAATGCTGGAGGTGAAGTCATACAGGCTGACGGGGGGTACGGAGGCTTCCATCTCAGAGGTCACCTTCAGGGAATGCTTTAAGGTCTCTTGCATCTGCCAATATCAATATCGAGTAGTGCAACGTTATGCATATCGACAGTGCAATATAAATACTTCAAATATCTTAAAAAAAACAACGTAAACTTTTATAAATTGGTAGTAAATAGTGAAGACAAACTTGCACATTAGGTTAGTTTTAAGTAGAGGCAAAACATTATAAACCTAGTAAATATATGCCAGAAAACCATTCTCTGCTTCTACACTACCATTTAAAATCACATTCCTAACTTTGTAATTCGGGTCATTAAAATTATGTCAAGAAAACTTTAGAAAGTTAGGACGACAAAGCTCTGGCCAGTGAGAAACCAAGGAGACCGCGAGCTTAACAAAAATTAAAAGTAACTGGTTGAAGCTTAAGAGGATCCAACACTACTTCCTCATACTCTATCATTTGTCAGCGATACTTTAAATATAGGGAACCTTTAGATCCTGTACAACTGAACCCTTACAGGCTATCATTATAGCCTGTATGTTGTATGTATTGTACAGGTGCACTACCATTTATAAGATTGAAATTTATGCTAGATTTATCTTTGCCTTAATTCCACTAAAACAATAGTTAGGGATAAGGTAATCAGAACGTACCAGGTCATTACGGCCATAAAGCACTTAAAGAGGACGAGGATCGGGTCAAGACGGAGATAAGGAATGGTGCTCATGAAAGCACTTAAATGGTCGTGAATTAAACGCAGACATGCAATAAGCGAGACCGTCGCTCTACCGTCCAGTCCAAAAGGCCGAGAGTGAAATTAAGGGTTTATCAAGAGATCAGGCCAAAGGGGATAAAATCAGGGATTCAGGAACCATACAATAGGGTATACAACAGGTGCAACAGGCAAGAGCTGGGAGGAGGAAGCATGCACACATCACATCGCAGGGTAGAAATACCCTAAAATACTTTTAATTATACAAGAGATTTATTTTATGGTTTCAATAAGCTAACTTTCATGCACACACTACAAGCTACAAAGGAGCCAGAGTGCAAAGGGGCAGAACTTTAGGAATCTTTGGGGGAAGAAACTTTAAACTTTTCCCCCAGAGCGGGTGATCAGGAGGACAGGACGCCCGAGATGCGAGACCTGGTAGTGGACATCCTGGAATGGGCCCCGGGCACCGTAGCTGGCGCCTGTATCCCTCAATACGGGAATATCGTTGTGCGTTAGGATTCTATCAGTACTCACAGAACCAAGAGAACGTATGATTGTCATCGAGCAGGAAGATATTCTAAAAAATCCAAGGCCAAGTACGAAGGCCAAAATCAAAGAACCAAGGTAAAATTTAGGAGTTATTCCATTGGCAGAGGGAAGAAAAACCGTCACGAAGGGAACACTACACAATGGGTAACAGACTGGAAGGGGAAGAGTGTAGAGTGACTAATCTTTAGGAGCTGAAAGCCATCACGAGGGAGACCGTCTCATGGGACAACTATCAGATAACATAATGGCAATCAGATCTCTGCCACCAATAGACGCGCGAGAAGAGAAAATAGTCCCCAACTAGAATTTAAATAGTCATTGTTCGTATCCCAAACCGACTTCACTGGTAGTACACTGATTTCTTCAAGATTCTCGATCAGGAATTCAGAGTTCAAATCCCGGGCAGAAAAAATGGTTGGGCCCCTTTCCAATCACCTTGTCCCTGTTCACCTAACATTAAATAGCTACCAAGGAGTTATGCAATTTATTGTGGGGTTGAATCCTGGGGTCATTAGTTCGACCTGGGAGGAATGCCATACAAGTTCAACATGTATACACACTGGCTGCCTGTCCTAACAATGGATTATTACAACCCATCCTCTGGAAAAAATGGTTCATTGTAAGTATGGATGATCGTAAAAATATTTACATGAACAAATAGGAATTAGAAGTTTGTACTATTTACTTTTATAAGAGTCTAGAAAATGCTAAAACATTCTTAGGCCTAGTATAGCACCTGGGTACTACATTTTGCCTCTAAGCATTTTAGATCTACGATGGTTAGACTTCATTAGCGACAAATAGGAAACTCCCGGTTTGTCCAAATTAAGTAATGAAAATGTCTATTGGTCCATCACGTCCCTCTGCACGATCTACATAGTTACTAAACGTACTTTTATTTTAGGAGGAATGGCTGTACCAAGGACAATAGGGAAGCGCTGGGGCAGGAATGGGGGGGGGGGCGGCGCACCACAAGAACTGACAAGAGCGTCAAAACGTCTCACGACGAGACTACGCGGGACAAGTGAAGCTCGTCCAACACTTCGTTACGGAATCATTATGTACATGCACTACAGTTCTGTAGTGAGCAACACTCCACCTGCCTGGCTACAGCACGCACTCTTGTGCTGAAATAGGCACAAGACACCAATACATTTCTAAATAACTTAAGATTAAATGATATCCATTTAATTTTGTTGGAACAGGCACTTTGTATACACAACCACACTGCTTTTATCTAGGGGCATTCCCCCCAACAATGTCAAACTACTGACCCTCTAGAACCTTACCTCAACAGTTTCCCCAACTTACTGTTAGGCAAAAGGCAATATAAAAATGTGCCCAGCCATTTCTGGGGTCCCTCCCGGGATTCTAATCCACGATTTCAGATTTTGAGTGAATTACTACCGACCTCAAGAATTTAAGCAAAGTCTAATAAATTCAATCTTATAAATATATAGAATTCGAAAACTTAAACTTTTAGAATATCGATCCATCACTCAAGGTCCTGAAGGACAGGGATCAGAGTGATGGCAGACATGAAAATTAAAAATAAGTACCGAATCTTACCGATATTCTAAAAGCATTAACTCTTAATTAAAACTTCAGTAAGGACCAATAGGCAGGTCAGTGGCAGGACTGATCAGCAACATACCTTAATTGAGGTGTGGACAGTGTTTGTGTCCGGGAAGAGTTCCTCGCACTTCTCCAGCCAATCTTCCAGCTTTATACTAGATTTATCAACGTCGTCGATGATCACGTATACCTCATGTGCAGCCTCTGGGGTGTCGAGGCACACTAGCAACTCTTGTAGCTGCCGCTTTATTTCTCCTCCTACTTTTGCCATATCTGCCACACTTTTAATCTCCTGGTCCAGCAGACTCACTGCCGCCTTGTTCAGCTCCACCACACCAACGAGTCCGTCCTCAACTTTGTCGTGTTTACTCTCCCAGTCACTCAGCTTGACCTGGTACTCTCCCAAATTAGAGAGTACTTTTTCACAGCCAGTTATGAGAGAGTTGATGATGCTCTTGTGCTGCTCCACCAGCGACTGTAGCGTTTTGCTGACTTTTATAGAGTGCTCTTTAGGTGCAGCAGATCCTGGTGCCACTGACAACTGCCTAACACCTTCGAGTTTCCTCATCAAGGCCTCCATACCGTAGCTAATTGGGAAGTGAGCATCAGCTGTGGCACTGTGCTCAGTATTGCAGCTCGGGCAGACGAGCAGAGCATTCTGTACAGCATCTTTAGTACACTGCGAGCAGACTGTATGACCACAAGGCAGACTACACGGCCTTCGTAGAGTTCCATCGTAATTGGCTTTACAAATATTACAAACGCTGTCCAATGGAGAAAAAATTGTTACTTCCCTAAAGCATCAGTATTAATTTATAATGCAATCTGTTCAAGTATTTCTATTCTTATTCCTATCCAGATCCGATATAAAAAAAATGAGAAAAGTACCAATATTGAACTTTGCTAAAAACTATGCGTGGAACATTGTTATAAAGGACTTTAACTAGGGTCCAAGTGGCTGTGGAAACCAAAAGACATTTTGTACCACTGGAGACCCGAATTAGACTACTCTATAATGTCTATTTTAATCTTAAAACAACCAGGATGGGCAAGTTTGTGTAAATATGGCAAAAAGTAATCAAAAGGCGGCACTAGCTGGGAAGACTATGTAGCACCATCAGTGTTGCTGGATAGTCACAAGGCGCCAAAAATTACCGAGGATGTCAATACGAGAACAAAGGAACAATGCGAGCGATATTAGAGGCATCAGATTCAACGAGGAGGCTCTTATGAAGTTACCTTGAAGGACACAAGATAAAAAGATTAGGCTTTAAAGTCTGGACATTCCACAAGGAGGTGCATGGTTGTAAACGGGACAATGCAGTTCGGACAATGAGCAGAGCAGCGTTCCATTAGGCGTCATTTAATTTTTTCCATCACCTATTACAGTGACGACTGCCAATGGAAAAGGTTACATTTAAGAGGGCAGAGTTTGTTACCCTTAACACCATGCTAATAACCCGCCAATGGTCGTGGATAGAGGAATGACTGGTCTAAATCTGAATTAGGAATGCAGTTTTAGTATGAAAAGCGTCTATTGGCTCCTGAACAGCAATATCCGCACGTTCGTTTAAGGTAACACCAATGCGACTGGGAACCAAGCAAATCTTCAGTCTTAAATCTGCTAGATATGAAAATGGCCTATATTCGATTTCTACTTTAAAAGGATTCGTAGAGTTAAGCGACTCCATAGCCATAAAGGTTTTGCATGCATCTACGACAACAAAAGTTACTGATGTAGGAAAGGCAGTTTTAGAGCATAAAATTGTGCTCTGAAGAAGTTTGTTTCTGGCGGTCGGCAGCTCTTGTGTGGTCAGGAAAGACTAGTAGCCAACACCATTGGTAGACTTGGACCCACCTGAAGAGGGGAATGTAGCGAATAAAATTGCTCCAAGAGTTTCACAACAGCAAGAGGGGTGGGTCAAGGCCTCAATTTTCGAAGTGAAACCGACACGGGGGCAAAGTTTGACCGACAATCTATAACTGCATATATGAATCTTACTAGTGGAATATCCTTTTAGAAAACTAAAGGCGGCGAAAGGGAACTGCTCGAGGGTGACTAAACACTGCATTTGTGAGTGGGGCGATGCAAGGCACCGTGTGAGATACAGGAGAGTGATGACCACGACAATCTTTGAAGAGATGCCAGGTTTTAAAGAGGGGCAAGGAAGGAAACTAACGAACATTACCGAAGCAGAGGCGTAACCTAGTATGGAGCAGTGTATGAACAAGACGAACGATCAAAGGCAAGCAGAATAAAATAGGCGGGGGCAGCCATAATCTAGTTAAGTAGCAAAAGAGAAAATACCCGTGTGCACTACCAGACTCTTCCCCCCCCCCCCCTCTCCACAAGGAAGTATGGCCCAGACTTAAATAAGGGCCCTTCAGAATGGAACTACGAGGCGAGAGAAATTTGGCGACCAAGACAAACTTGTGTCAAAGACAAATCCCATAAGTTCAGCCGAATCTTTGTTAATTGCAAACATTAAAACTACAAAGTATTACCAGAGCAACAATATGGGACGAAGAACGACCCGCTCCGAGAAGTTATTGTACAAGTTAATATTAAAGAACTTTAGCAACGACCGACTGCCAAGGACAGTCGGTCGCAATCTGGAGCAGGTGTAAGCAAGGCATCGTCACCACGACAAAGATCAACATGACATTAGCCGCTTGTCCGACAAAATCAATTTTTTTTAATTTTAAAGTGATAGAAAATGAAAAAGGGAAGGAGGAAGGAAATATTTAAGGCAACCAGGAAAAAAATAGTGCTCAAAACACTACCTTCGTGTACTCCGTCATATTGTTTAAGAATCTAAGAAACTGGCACCAAGTTACTTTAAATTAAAGAATAAATATTAAAAGGAAGAGCTTGTCAGACAAAATTAATGTAGTTGGGATAATACATAGCATTTCCAGGTCAAAACGAATGGAGGAATACGCAGCAAATGCAGTATGAATGTAGAGCTCTAAGTCCAAGATATCAGTCGTACTGCAACACTTTCCAAAGGCAAATTAAGGGTGGAAAAAAAAGGGGGGGCCGGTAGCGATGGTGTTTCAGGATTCATAAAGTAACTAACCATGCCTCAAGAGGGTTTCTTCAGACTGAAATTAGTCAAATCCCTTAGTACAGATTCCTAATTGGGAGGGGGAGGGGGAAAGGCCTCAAGTCTTCTCTGGGACTGATCCCTCTCAAATACAGTTATAAATTTTTAGCAACTACTTAATGGCACATTGAGGATGAAGCATCTATCTTAACAGCCCGCCGCCGTAGAAATGCAAAGGGACACGGCAAGCTCTGGTTGCCAACGATATAGTTATGTAGGCGCTGTATGAGAGACAGTAAAGAATGATATTAAGGGACTTTCTAGCAAGCAAGGCAGGAGGAAAATTAGTACCGTAGAGAATGGCCGAGAAGTGCAAGCGATCAACCCGAATTTTACGTACAAATTCTTTAATTTGGCCGTTTGCCTGTACGGTCGAAAATTTACGTAATACGAGAATGAAAAAACTAACATTTGGGGATATTTTTTCTACAACAGCAAGTTTTTTTCTACAACAGCAAGTAGCGAGTTTTTTTGGGTAGGTTAGGAGGGAAGAAATTATAAAATGTTTCAATACGTCATGAGAACCGTTAATTGAAAGTTTCCTAACCTAACTGAGCAAGTCTGAAGACTGAAAACCGGACAGTACATCACTTTCGTGAGCAGACTTCATTTCAAATTACGTCCATTTTTTTTCATAGTGCGCATACGAGCGAAAAGCCAAGTTATTTTTAAGAGGACGAGTTGTACAACCAACACCAGATTTACACGACAACCACATATGGGCGATGTTAAATTTTCCTAAAACATTGGCATTTTCTTCCAGATTTGAGGGAGGGTGGTGTCAATCTTAATGGATGACTACTTCAAACTCTTGCTTAGCTGTATGGATGGCCCTACAGGTCACTGCACTCCTACCGAAAGCATAAGTGTTGTACAGCCCAGGTAATCCTAATGTCATCTGGGACGCACTTCCATGCATCACTGGAGGTATAGCAAACAGCAGTGTTTACAAAGATAGTCAGCAGAGGAATTTAAACAGCTGACAAGACTGGAGTAAAAGGAATATTCCGGATCAAGAGCAATAGAGTTGCTTTATTGGATGGGGAGAATAGAAAAGTAACGGCAGAAGTGTCTAGGACGAGTGTCAAGCACCGGCTCCTAGAGTGAACTGAAAAAAGCCAATCTCTAAAATTGGTATAAAGTATATTCCATTTTAGAACAGGCATAGATAAATTAAGAAAGAAGCAAAGGACATGGGCTACTTTGAAAGCTCAGGACCAAGTTCAGTTAAGGAGGGGGGGGGGGGGGGAGCATCACAGGCAAGTCCAGCAAAGATGCTAGACTAGCAGGATCACAGGCGAACCAACAGCGTCCGTGAGGAAGGGGTGACAGAAGGAGTACAGATCGCAGCGTGCACTATCTGGTAGCACAGAATAGAGGACTATGGGAACTTCCATAACTAGGCCAGCCGACTGCTACATTGATAGAGATGCAGGAACAAAGATGGAAGTGGTATTTCAGAAAAGGAAAGAAGCCATCTTACCCGCTGGGAGGGAGAAGAACCTGGTTTATAAGACCAAGACAAGCGTGCCAGTAGCCACGTACGGGTCAACAGCCTCTGGAGAACTAGAGCAAATGGTACAAATACGGCCTGGAAGAATATCTGGACAGACTTTAGGAGAGCCGAGAAATCTGGATAGAGGGTAAAAGTCAATGGGGATAGAAGAGGGAGGTGGTGAAGTGGCGCAAATAGGGTGGACAGGAGAAGACCGGGTAAGGAAGGTGGAAGTGCTGGTTTATGATCCTGTAGTAGAGGGGGGGGGGGGTTAGTGGAGGAGTCAGGATTTAAGGATTTGAAACTTAAGGGAACAAGGCTGTGGGAGTAGAGCAATGCATCGCAATAGTACAAATCTGTGTTTTAAGATGGAGGAGTCTTGTCACCTGGAAAGACGTATACAATCGCGATGTTACAAGCAGTGGACGACTTTCAACGATGTGCACAGTGACATCTCTTCAAGGAACCACGACCAAATAGCCAGTACCCATTGCAGAGGTGTGAAGGACTTGAACGGTGCTTCTGGCAAATTGAACATGAATAAAAGCCACAATGCGAAGAACAAAACAGACCACACATACAAATTTCGGGAAAAGGGTTTGAAGTTACAGAATAAAAAGTAGTCTCGCGAGGACTACATGCACAACACCGAGGAGCCTATGTTATCCTGACCAACTTCAGAATCTCAAATACATGGGTGGAGAAATTAAGAGAAATTGTTCACGACCCCAAGAGAAACTGGAATATGTAGTGGTTGTTTGGTGCCCTCATCTTAAGAAGTATCTTTAATGGAAAAGGTGCAGACATTAAAACAAGTCTTTGAACTGAAAAAAAAGCTACGAGACGAGCCTAAAAGTATTAATTATACCAAATCTACAATAAAAAAAAAAAACATGACAAAACAGGAGTCTACAAAATCAGATATTTTAAGCCTTCATGTTTAAGAAAAGCTCCGACTTTGAGGGGGGGGGGGGGGGGAAAGAGAGAAAAGAGTACTTTTGCAAACAGTGGCAGACTGAACAAGTGTGGTGAACGCCAAAACAGTGAGCATTACGTGACTGGTGAGAAAACTGGACACCACGAACTAGCTTTAACTACACTTTTCGATAATTCTTGCTGGTAATTGGCCCGACTGGAGGGTCCTAACGAAGTGATCTTAACTACTCTAAGAGGTTAGCGACTACGAGGTCACTACCATGTTAGTGAATGCGTCATTATCGAGGTCGGTAACCTTAGAACCAAGCCTAATAGCTTCACGACAATCTATTACCATCTCCAGTTACGGCATGTTAGAGTGACACGGGGATGTTGGAAAGTAAAATTGGCATCTACAGTCATCAAGGCCGTGTATGGGCAATTACAAATGTTAGGACACTTATCAGGGCCAAAACCGCTCGAGGAACGTATCTGAAGGATTCACGTGTGTCAAGTGTGGTGACGCAGTGATCCCCCCCCCCCCCCACCCAATAAGAAGCACGAGGGGGTCTGGAAGGAGCAGTTTTCAACCAAAAATAGAGTCACCAGGTGATTATTACGGGCTATTCATGCCTGTGCCACCTCTTGGGTGGCTTAATCTTTATCATCAATCAGGTGATGAGGTAGTCATCACTGGGGGTGTGGGACTATCCCGAGAAAGTGGGAGGGGAAGACTAGTCGAGATAGCCAAAGATAAAGTTTGATCAGAGTCCAATCTAGTTAGTGCTAAGAGTCCGAACTTCCATCCCTGTCAGGACTCAAAGATAAAGGGGGATGGGTCCCGATCCCTTGGCCCAGGAGCCCGAGTAGTTTGTCCCACAAGGAACAATGCGATACACAAGAATTAAGTTAACGGCAGAGTTAACTTAAACTTCTCAAACGCGCCACCTATTTATATCCATTAACTCTTTCATATTCGAGCCTAACCTACGCTTGAAGATCTAGTGATCCACCCAGCTACTACGTTACCCGGTAATCTTCCACAAACTAGAGTTTCCAAACTTAGTTTTCTTCCCCAGATTTTTACTAAATCTAAACTTATCACAAACTCCATCTTAAGAGTCAACTTGCCATTGCGCCATCGTACCATACTACCAACTGCTGTACCTAAGCTATACCAAAAGTACACATTAAGTTACCATACTTTATCTGTCGCCGTAGTAACGGGCGTTACACGTAAGAGCCACAAGAGCCCACAGCCAGGGATCACTCATTAACTGGCCTCTTACACAATCTAATTTGTGCAGTAATTTAAACTTAAAACACTGAGGAAACTATAATAACTGATGGGGTTAGGTGGACTAGGGAAGATTACCCCTTACACACAGAGCCAAATGTAAACAATGAACACTGAGGGAGGCGCAATATAAAATTACAGTAGGAACTGGGACAAAAATTCAAAGTAATGTCCTGGCGCGTTAGGAAACTTTGCTGTGAGATCAGATACCACATGTCTGAAGATGTGAAGACGCTGAAGGCGGGATGGCCTGGATGTGTACCCAGAACAGAACCAGACAAGTGAATGACCTGGCTGGCTGGCTGGCGACCCAGGTTGGCTGGACAGCCATCTGGTGGCGATCAAGTGCATCGGGGAAGGAAAGGGGGGGGAGGGGGGTTAACCCGGCGACGATAATTGCGTTGTTTCCCTCAGGGTTACTAATTTTCTTCAAGAGATGCTTGTTTAGTGCGCGTATACTTTCTGCTCAGTTTTTAGATTCGGTTTTGGGTTTATTCCCTTACCTTGCGTTCCCTTGCGTTGATTCCGGGGGTCGAGGTCCCCGCGGCCCTGATCAGGCCTCCTCCCTAAGTCCCCACGCCTGGCTCCCCGTATGCACGAGTGGGTTTTACCATTTTAATTTTTTGTTAACATAGAACTTTGTCTCCTGTATTGATTTATAACCTAAATTGCAAAAAATTAAACAAGTAATACTCTTATTAACACACCGAGAATCTAAATAACATGATAAGAACCATAATAATTTTTATTTATAAAAACTCCATGAATATGATACAGAGGAGAACTCATAGGTAAACAACGTAAAATATATAAAGTCTCTGATTCGAAGGCATGACTTCCCTAAGTGTCCGAGGCCCGACCAACTCACCCCACAGCCATCCCATCCTCCAAACAAAGACCCATGATAGGACCCAAACAAACGAATGATATCATTTTGTCTGAAGGAATCACCAATTAAGTATACAGAGGAAGTTATTTTTTTAAGGTATTCACTTGTCACTGATTACTCAATCTTTTTCTCGTAAATATTATTTTCATTGTCAGGAAATATAATATACGAATGAATTATGTATATGTATGGTGTGTGGCACCTGTTGACCATGAGTGTGTGGCACCTGTTGACCATGAGTGTGTGGCACCTGTTGACCATGAGTGTGTGGCACCTGTTGACCATGGGTGTGTGGCACCTGTTGACCATGGGTGTGTGGCACCTGTTGACCATGAGTGTGTGGCACCTGTTGACCATGGGTGTGTGGCACCTGTTGACCATGAGTGTGTGGCACCTGTTGACCATGGGTGTGTGGCACCTGTTGACCATGGGTGTGTGGCACCTGTTGACCATGGGTGTGTGGCACCTGTTGACCATGAGTGTGTGGCACCTGTTGACCATGGGTGTGTGGCACCTGTTGACCATGGGTGTGTGGCACCTGTTGACCATGGGTGTATGGCACCTGTTGACCATGGGTGTATGGCACCTGTTGACCATGAGTGTGTGGCACCTGTTGACCATGGGTGTGTGGCACCTGTTGACCATGGGTGTGTGGCACCTGTTGACCATGGGTGTGTGGCACCTGTTGACCATGGGTGTATGGCACCTGTTGACCATGGGTGTATGGCACCTGTTGACCATGGGTGTGTGGCACCTGTTGACCATGGGTGTGTGGCACCTGTTGACCATGGGTGTGTGGCACCTGTTGACCATGAGTGTATGGCACCTGTTCACCATGAGTGTGTGGCACCTGTTGACCATGAGTGTGTGGCACCTGTTCACCATGAGTGTGTGGCACCTGTTGACCATGGGTGTGTGGCACCTGTTGACCATGGGTGTGTGGCACCTGTTCACCATGGGTGTGTGGCACCTGTTCACCATGAGTGTGTGGCACCTGTTGACCATAGGTGTGTGGCACCTGTTGACCATGGGTGTGTGGCACCTGTTGACCATGGGTGTGTGACACCTGTTGACCATGGGTGTGTGGCACCTGTTGACCATGGGTGTGTGGCACCTGTTGACCATGGGTGTGTGGCACCTGTTCACCATGAGTGTGTGGCACCTGTTCACCATGGGTGTGTGGCACCTGTTCACCATGGGTGTGTGGCACCTGTTGACCATGGGTGTGTGGCACCTGTTGACCATGGGTGTGTGGCACCTGTTGACCATGGGTGTGTGGCACATGTTCACCATGAGTGTGTGGCACCTGTTCACCATGAGTGTGTGGCACCTGTTCACCATGGGTGTGTGGCACCTGTTCACCATGGGTGTGTGGCACCTGTTCACCATGGGTGTGTGGCACCTGTTCACCATGGGTGTGTGGCACCTGTTCACCATGCGTGTGTGGCACCTGTTCACCATGGATGTGTGGCACCTGTTCACCATGAGTGTGTGGCACCTGTTCACCATGGATGTGTGGCACCTGTTCACCATGGGTGTGTGGCACCTGTTCACCATGGATGTGTGGCACCTGTTCACCATGGGTGTGTGGCACCTGTTCACCATGAGTGTGTGGCACCTGTTCACCATGGGTGTGTGGCACCTGTTGACCATGGATGTGTGGCACCTGTTCACCATGGGTGTGTGGCACCTGTTCACCATGGGTGTGTGGCACCTGTTGACCATGGATGTGTGGCACCTGTTCACCATGGGTGTGTGGCACCTGTTCACCATGGGTGTGTGGCACCTGTTCACCATGGATGTGTGGCACCTGTTCACCATGGGTGTGTGGCACCTGTTCACCATGGATGTGTGGCACCTGTTCACCATGGATGTGTGGCACCTGTTCACCATGGGTGTGTGGCACCTGTTCACTCCAGCCACAATTGTGATGATTTTTGTATTAATCACTGACAAATAAAGCTTCTAATCTAAATCTAAATTGAACAATATATAATGACAATATCTACGTGCTGCTATTCCCAATTTCTCTCATGTAATTGACGTGATGTGATTTTGACGTAAAGTTATCCAATTACAAATGTTCAACTATTTATGAATAAAGTTCTTGATTTGATTTGATTTTATGGCATTATCCAAATGAATTTGACCTTGTCGCTCTTACTGATAACTGACAACTCGAGAGCCTAATTAAGTCATAACTTTACATATATCTTTATCCGTGCCTCTGTCTTTCTCACTGCCTCTTCTCTCACCCATTCCACCTTTCTCCTCTCCTCCGTCACCTCCTCTCGCACCCTTTTTTGCCTTTTGCCCATTCTCTCTTTCTCCAAAAAATTAATATTACGAAGCACTGAGAGCTAATACCCTCTATGGAAATCTAATACCCGATTTCAGACTTCATGAAAATCGCAGGGAGTCGATATAGATGCCGATGTTTCTTAAAGTATGGCACTGGGGCCGACCCCCACTGGGCTTTGACACTCACCTACCCTCCATGTGTCATCTTGGAAAGTTGGGTGAGCTATAGTCCCAAGCGTCTGGGCCTCCTTTCTTTAGACACACTGACAGACATAAATTATATTTTATAGAAACACATGTATATAAATAAATAACAGGTAAGACAAGTGTAGAATATTAGGTGTACGACAGTAATAAATATATATATAACTACCTCTCTATAATTACAGCACCACCTCCACCCGTATAATTGCACCATCATTGCCCTATCATTCGTCAATAACAGCTCCCTGAATCATCCAAGAGTCTCAATTAGTATTTGAAAGTACTGATATAATTATAAGCAATTATTTTGATAAGACTTGTTGAAGGTGGTTAAATTGCCCTCAGTAATTTCGTATATTGATTTTTTGTTTAATTTCAGTAATGAGTTATATATGTCTGAATGAGCGTTCCGGCCCGTAATGTGTTTCTTCTTGCTGGACATCCATGTTTCTATGTCGTGAATACCAGATGGGGTACCCGGCGGTGCCCGGGGTCTCGTCTTCTCCCCGGCCCTATCTTTTCATCTCTGTTCTCTTTTCCAGTCTCTCCCCTCACTCTTCCCCCCCCCCTCTCTCTCTCTCTCTCCATCACTTTCTCACAAAATGTAATATCACAACACAGAGGGAGAAAGCCTAAATAACTCTAAGGGAATCGCGTGCCCGATTTTATTTCAAATTTGATGAAAATCACAGGGGGTCACTATAGATGCCCGTATTTCCTAAAGCCTGGCACTTGGGCCGACCTCTGATTAGCTTACGACACTCGCATATCCACCATGCTCCATGTTTGAAAGTTAGGTGAAGCTAACACAAACCGGCTGGCCTCCTGCTTTGGACAGATAGAAAGTCCTTCTATTTTACAGATCTTTAAAAAATTTCAATTGACTCATAAAGCTACATAAATGTAAATCACGCTGCAGAATTTGATATTATTTGATATAACCTTGTAATAGCCTAATTTACCCAGCTTCAATCTATACATCCGGTCTCTACGCTTTAAAACTCAGCTGTTACCAGGCTATCGTAATCTTATGATATCCTATAAATTCGTGTGTTAGTTTAAATAGCTTAGTACAAACATGCATCACTTTGTACTAGCAAGCATAAGCCTGTATTAGCTTACATAAGCCTGCTCTCTCCCACACAACCTTTCGGTAGAACATAAAACCATGTTCTAGGTTGGTTACTTTATATAAATATCCAAAATATCATGCAGTAACCTCCGGCAGAGCTGGAGGCACTAGACGCTCACCAGGCTCCGAGGACACACCACAAGCTCACCAAGACCTGCCAACTCCCAGCACCACGACGGTGTCGTACCTCGTCTCTCCTCCCGTAGATCCAACGGAAAACGAACAAATCTGTCAACTTGCCTTTGGTCCCGTTACAGCCTGGAATCTGACCCGTAATCAGTTGAGCCTTTATTAATCAGCCTTTTACAATTTAAGGAAAATAGGATCAGTGGAAAATGAATTAGACAGAAATATAAAAAGCCCACATTTGAGATAGGGCTTTTCGTACGAGTGAGGGAGGTTAGCAAGTTAATTCACTGAAGGGAGAAGAAGTAGGAGCCACCTCCATCCACAGCCTGAACAGCAAATACGATAGAGAATTATAATCCGAAACTTCTTCACGAAACCGCTATGCGTGAAAGTATTCACCTATTTGTGCTTGCGGGGGTTGAGCTCTGATTTTTCGGCCCGGCTCTCAACTATCAATCAATCAACTGTTACTAACTACTAACTAATTTTCTTTTTCACGCACACTCACCCCCAGGAAGCAGCCCGTAACAGCTGGCTAACTCCCATGTACCTATTTACTCCTAGGTAACAGGGGCATTAGGGTCAAAGAAACCGCCCATTTTTGTTTCTCGCCGGCGCCGGAAATCGAACACGGGCCGGATTACGTATGCAGCGTGCTATCCACACAGCCACTGCCGCCCCTA